CGCCTCTGGTGGTCGTGTCCTAGACCAAGGAGGTGGTGACGAATCTGGCGATGGTGGGAGAATGACTGGGGAGTCGGCTCTGGGCAGAGCAAGTTCACAGGAGAAAGATGGATATTGCTGGGACATTCGGAGGATGGTTTATCGATTTCTGAAGGGTGGGGCTACGTGGCACAAGGTGGGAAGGACTGCCATAGCGTGGATCATCTGGAGGGGCTGCATCTGGACGGGATGGCGATTCAACGGGAAAGGCTCGCCAGAAAGACATGCATGCAGAGAACCTGGTCAAGAAAAACTAATTGCTCAGAGATGAGGTTCAGAGAGAAGGGATTGGAGAAGGAAGACTGCGAGAGAGGGACGTCGCGTGACGGACAGAGAAGATGGCTTGAGAAGAAGACCTGGTGCAGGGCAACTCGATTCCAAGCCATCTTCTTCTCCAGGTCTTCTTCTCAAGCCATCACTGGAACCGTTCTTCTCAAGCCATCACTGGAACCGGCCTCCACAGGAGGTCCATGAGGGAAGGAGGGTGGAGAGTGCCAAATTCCAAGGAACACATCGGTTCCAACGGGCCCGCTGGAGGCCGGGTTTCAGGCTGGTGTAGGCCTCCTGTGTATTAGAGTTAGGATAGATAGGTTTAGCAGAAGAAGAAGATAGTTATAGGCTAGTTTGTTGGGACTCTTGGGAGATACTTCTTGCGAATGCAATTTGTCTTTCATGTATCGATTTTGCGGACAGGATTTTCATCAGGGTCAAGCCTGTACTCTCAGCTGGCTGATGCTGTCCGATCACTCCGCGTTGAATTGTGAGGTCCCCGGCCTCGATGCCTTTCGGTTTAATGAATTGAAGTTAGTTTTCCAAACTACTACAACAACAACAAAAAAAAAAAAAAACAAAAAAAAAACAAAAAAAAAAAACAAGGTCCATATGTGTCCTACCAGCGGGAGTTATGCGTTGACCACAGAGCAAGCGAGTGAAGTGTGTACAAGAATTGCCGTGTCGGTGTGGTGTTGAGTGTGTTTGCAACTCTTTTTGATCCAACTCAATCGAATGAGATTGAACTGGCGCTGCTGACACTTCGTGGCCTTGGACATGTAACAGTCATAAAAAACCCAATTGTCTGAAAACCAAGCCAAGTTTGTGGTGTCGAGTGTTGGTGTGTGTTGAGTGAGGACACTACAGCCTTGCAGCTGTCTCTTATACACATCTAGATGTGTATAAGAGA